CGTTCCTGAAAAATCATAAGTTAAGATTGAAGACCAAGCAGCCCATCCCAGCAGCTCTTTGGCAGGCAGGGGTGGACACAGAGCTACTGACTCCATTGCCCAGGGCTGGGCACTTTGCTTCTGGTTCCTGCAGCAAGGCCAGTTTTGAGGTTCACTGAAGCCCCTGGCAGTAGGAACCAAAATGAACTCAAGATTTTATTTAAGAAAATTAAGTCAAATCACTTTAAGTCATATTAGTACAGATAACCACATAGGAAATATAATGGTATTTTCTTCATGATTTAAAAAAGTCTTATCTGAATACAGAAATGCTTAAAGGACATTTGAAATTGAATTGAAATCTGAGTCAAAACTGAATTGGAATTGAAAGGACCATAAATACTTCTGAGGCTCTGCCTTTCCAGTGCTTCATTCCAACCAGCACCTGGCCATTGTTCTGCTAATTGAAACTCCAGAGGGAACATTATTGTGCAAAACTCCATCATCATTCTTACTGATATTTTAATATCAATAAGATATTTTAATAGGAAGAGCAAGGACAGAGGAACTGTGGGCTTTGTACACTTGAATTGATACGTTTGTATGGTCAGATGTTGTGTGGAAGCTTGCTTGCTCGTGCTGTCATTTCCTGTTGATCCCATACCCATGTCAGACTATGTGACAGCACTGGCTGGCCTGAGTTGCTTGGGAACAAGCAACATTTTCAAATAAAATAAAACTGAAATGGGGTGAGCTGTAGGTTCTTCTCTCCGTTACTGGGGCTTTAATATCAGCCATATTAGAAAGTGCATCCCCCAGAAAAAGTCTTTGCCCTGTGACCCCTGGATCACATTTACCTTTTGTGACCTTTGCCCTTTCTATGACCTTTGACTTCTTGGTGTCATTCGACCTCTTTGTGACCTTTTGGGCTCTCAGTGACCTTTGAACTCTTGGAGTACTGGCACAGACGTCAGGGATGTGGCAGAACAGGGGCAGGGGAAGCCCAGCCCCACTGCTTCCCAAAGGGCTGGAACTACTCTCCCACAGGCTGGAATATGGCAGAGGACTGAATTTGCCACCACAACTTAACACTGTTCTTTTTATGTCTCTGCTTATGTAAATTAAAAACTTTTCAAACCCCAGTGCATAGGATTAGGCACCGAATCAGCTAATTAGATATAGATGGCAAATCTCAGGCTTTTTATAGCCTTGTGGGCACTTTTTTCAGTTGGGAAATCAGCATGATTTATTTCACGCACAGCTCCTCAAACGTGGAAGGCATGTGGTATGAACTTTTAAACGTGATGCTCCTTACCATCCAGTGCCCGTTGCAGAAAGAATGCTATCCCCGAATTAAATTGCTAGAAATTCTGCTTTGATGGGGGGCTTTGTGCTCTTCTTTTCTTTAGAGAAAATGTCTGTATTTTAATAAGTTCCAATGAGGGAAAGGCTTTGCTTTTGGAGAAACCCAAATGGAGACATCTTTCTTTAAAGACATCTTGACATGGCTTTTTCCATCTTTCAGTCTCTTTTTTGGAAGGGGGCAGCTTCTTTCAAAAACAAATGACCCTTTCTGCTGCAGATTCTGTCTCATTTCAGAAGAGCTCTGGGAACAGCAACCTGGTAGCTAAAATACATCACCAAAAGTCTCTTTCCTGCTTGGAGGGTACGAGTGGCTGTGGTAGCAAAAGAAACATTGTTTGATAATTTCTGAATATATCTACATGCAAAGCTAACATAAATCTCGGCCTAAGGCACCACTACCATAAAAGTCACTAAAACACTTCTTACAAGTTTCTAAGGTCATTCCTTAGATTTCACTACTCACTTATTACTTCCTCCCAACAAATCAAAGATGGTAAATACTAAATGCAGGTAAGTTTCAGCAGTTCAGGTCATCATGTGCATTTGTGGTCCATGCTCAAACACCAAGAAAACATGGCACTTCCTAGCATACAAACCAGCTGAGCTGAGCTGAGCAGACACACCTATTTCAGGCCCAGCTTTTATAGAATGGGGAGACTGTACTACTTGCCAGAGCCAAACTCCCAACCCCCTCTGCATGCACTGGTAACGGATGTGCAGCTGTGTGTCTTTATATGCCCAAATATAGTTTAGTCAAACCTCCGCAAGAGTAACTCCGTGCAGATCCACGTCTCCTATGAACCAGCTGGATCGTGCAAGGAAGACCTGGGTGGGGAGTGTGGGCGTGAAGGGGAGAGACAACAATTTCTGACACCCCTTTTTCAAAAGCCAACTGGTACACAAACAAGGAAATCAGAGGCTGCTGGATGCAGCCAAAGTGATCACAGCGAATCCAGTTCTACACCACATAAAAAAGGCCCCCTCAAACATGTCAGCACTGCAAGCCTGAAGGGGAAAGTGGCTGCAAATGAAAACAAAACTGACTCACCTAGTTTCCTTGTTTAGCATGAGAAAAAAAATAATCAGAAGATAAATAATTACAGTAACTCTTGAAATGCAAACTGGTTTTATAACACTCCCTTTTCTATCCACCTTCAGTAAAGTGGAATTATGAGCCAAACAAAATTTACTTCACTTTTGAAGTGTGATTTTTAAGCTTGTAGGAACCCGCAAAATAGGAAGAGGTCAGATGGGACCTCCACAACAGATGCAGACCACTACCTGAAAAAAGGCTGAATATTATGAATATTCTACCTTCCTTACAGCACCAGCAGGTTGGTACATGCTGGCTTTATTTAAGTAACTTTTATCCTTCTGCAAATCATACTGCACAGTGTTTAAAGAGATCTTGAAAGAGAGAGATGCATACAAATAAACTGGATAATGCCTCCCCAGCACTTGGCAAAATTTCACAAATGAGTCACGCATTATGGCTGTGTCAATCTGGGCTTTGTGTTAGTGATGGTGTTAGATCCTACCCACTCCAGATTCCAATCACAGGGAAGATTATATATAAAAAAGCTCAGATATATAATGGTTGATGTACGTCCTCCACTGTACAATGCACACTTACTGGTACATAAAAGGAAGGCTGTTCCTATCCAAATGCTGAGAGAAAAGCTGAGCTGGGCGTCCAAATGGGAGCATCAGGAGTAGATAACGCTGAAGAGATGAGGAGCTGGATCCCAGTCCAGCAAAGCAAATATTTAGAGCAAAGTAAACCCTGAGAAATATTGAAAGAAGAATTGCTGGGACTAGATGGTTGATGGATTTCAGATCTAACAATCCAAACCCATGTAGCTGAGGCTGCAGGTCAATGGGCTCCTTCAAACTCATCAACATTTTCTGTTCCTAAGACCACGAGGGCTCTTGTTACCATCAGCTGGAGAGAGTAGAAGGGTGTCAGCACTTCTAAATGCAGATGGAGCCTCAGGCACATCCCACCACATTAAGTTCACCTCACTTGTACAGCATCCATCTACACCTTGGAGCATCAGCCCCAGACACCTTCCCCTGATGTGGGGAGAAGGCAGGAAGGCTATGGGCACAACAGAGAAAGATAATGGACAACAGAGGACAACAACCAAGACAACGGGAATCAGAGAAGGGTCACATCATGCCACCATTGGTCTCCTACGAAGAAATAGTCAGGAGCCCCGAATCTGGAGAAAAACAATTCAAAACCATTCCCTCATGACCTCCCTTCTGGTTTTTGGTACTGCTTGAGGACAAAAGAAGAGAAAATCACCACATTTAGACAAGGTGATACAGGACAACTAACTCATGCAAAATGTTGCATCCTGGATGGTAGCCCACACACTTTAGAGATTAGCTGAAGCTCTGAAATGCAATTTGAGTAACTTCCTTTGATGTGCCATCTGGTGAATAATTTACTGGGAATGTCTTAATCACATCAAAGGCATCTATCAGCTCAGATTTTCTCAGTGTTTAGGACTCTGCCTGTATATTGCACTCAAGAAACAGACATATCAGTATAGAACTAAACTTTACTGCAGTGCTTTCTCCCACAGTAATAAGAAGAATCTGCAGCATATTTACCACTATGGCCTCAAGCACCAGAATCTTGAAGTGCAATATTTCACTATTACCTCAAAAAGGCTGCTACTCTACAATCAGCCTTGCTCATGTTTCCAAAAATTTATAAAAATAGAAACACATCTGTTGTATAAAAAAAGTTTAGAAGCATATTTCCCTATTGAGAGAACATATTGGCAGCGTACTCTAATATCAATCACATGGATTTAGACCTAGAGAGGACTTAGACTTTAGATTTAGTAGATAATTAGGAAATTTTGTACAAGGAGGATGGTGAGACACTGGCCCAGGAGGATGCCCCATCTCTGGAAACATTCAAGGTCACATTGGACAGGACTCTGAGCAACCTGATCTGGTTGAAGATATCCCTGCTCACTGCAGGGAGGATGGACTAGATGGTATTTAAGGGTCAAACCAAACTATTCTCTAAGTCTATGACATCCATTACTCATACTCCAAACTGAAATCCCATTATTACTGCTGCCCCTCCCTAAATACTGAGACTAAATTAGGGTCATATTTTAAAAAAATAATAATAAAAAAAACCAAACTGACAAAAGAAAAAAAAACAAAAAATCCACGAAACTTTCTGGCTTGTAAATATAGATTTAAAATCACAGAAACAGTTATACTCCCCAAAAGCCAAGGCCAGGTTATACCTATTTGCACGTGCCAGTCGTGTCTTGTCGCTTAAATGCTTTTAACTGCATTATCCTTCAGCATCGCCCCGACACACCCAGTGCAGCTCACTCACTGCTTTGCTGTGGCCGCTCCTGCCCCGCAACCCCCCACGCGGCCCCCTCGGCCCGGTGCCCACGGCAGGCAGGGGCAGGAGGAGGGGAGTGACCCCGGCCCGGGGCCCCCGGCCGGTGCTGCCGCCCACGCCCACCCGCAGCATCCCCGGCCGGGCACCTCCGCTCCCCATCCCCGTCCCCATCCCCGTCCCCGCCGGTCCCCTCTGCCCATCCCCGCCCGCCCGCCCGCCCCGCCCCGCGGCGGCGGCGCCGCGCCCGGGCTGATTTACGGCTCTGCTGAAAACGCCGCCGCCGCCGCCAGCAACAAGTCGGGTGAGTGCGGCGACCTTGCGGGCGGCGAGGCCCGCGCCGAGCCCGGCCCGGCCCCGCCCGCTCCGGCGAGGCCCGTGCGGCGGCCGAGGCGAGCGGAGCCCTCTGAGCCGCGCCGGGCGGAGCCGCCGGGGCCGGGCCGCTGGAGCGCCGCGCCGGGCGGGCGCGTCCCCGGGCGGAGATGGCGCGGCACCCCTGAGGGATCGCCGGGAAAGTTTCCCAAGTTTCCCCGTCGGGCGCGGACGCGGGCTGTTCCCTCCCGGCGAGGAATGCAACAGACGGCCCGCGATGAAGGCGGGCACCCCTGGCCGGAGCCGCTCGGCAGCGTCAGCCTCCCCTTCCGCTGCCCGCGATGCGGCGACCACACCAGGTTCCGGAGCCTGTCGTCCCTGCGGGTGCACCTGGAGTACAGCCACAGCTTCCAGGAGAGCAGCCTGCTGGCCAGGAGCAGCCTGTTCTCGCCGCTGAAGGATGCGGAGCTGGTGTCCCCGCCGGAGCCCGCGCCCCAGGGCAGCCCGGGGAGCCCCGGCGGCTCCGCGGGGCCCTTCCTGAACTTGGGCGGCGCGTCCTGCGGGAGCGGGAAGGGCGGGCAGCCGCGGGAGCTGCCCGCGGAGCGCCCGGGAGCCTACCTGGCCAACTGTGTGTCGGCTGAGTCTCCCAGCGAGCAGGTGTCCAAACCCGGGCTCCCGGCCACTGACTCCAAAGCCTCCTTCGAGGCACATGTCCGGGAAAAGTTTAACAGGATGGTGGAGGCCGTGGACAAAACGATCGAGAAGCGGATCGACAAGCTTACCAAAGAGCTGTCCCAGAAGACGGCGGAGCTGCTGGAGGTGCGGGCGGCGTTCGTGCAGCTGTCCCAGAAGAAGCAGGAGGTGCAGCGGCGGGAGCGGGCCCTGAGCAGGCAGGTGGATGTGGCCGTGGAGATGATCGCAGCCCTAAAGCAGCGGCTCAGCGAGTCCGAGGAGGAGCTTCACCGCAAAGAGGAGTAAGTGGGGAGGCGAGAGCCGGTGGCTTGGCGGGCTGGCCTGGCCCTGCGTGAGTGACAGCCTTTGGGGGACAAGAGAGGGGATGGCTCAGCTGCTTGCTGAGTTTGAAAGGGCCTGGAGCTCACCAGCTTCAGAGAGCTGCGTTTCTAGAGCAGTAGCCCATGTGACTGTGTCCCTGCAAGGCAGTGGACAGCTCCCCGAGCAGGTGGTTCTCATGCTTTACTCCCCAGTGACTAACGGGGCAGGGGACAGCTCCCTGTGCAGGTGGCTTCATACTTGACTACCTCATGACTGACTTTTACACTTCCTAATGCCTCTTGTGCCCCTGGTTTCATGAGGGTAGGGAGAAGTAAAAGCTCTCATCAGCAGGTAATCTGATTTACACTGATACCTCTAATGCACCATCTTTTTAAGAATATATGCATGGGTAAGTCTGGAGGAAGTATGTGAGAATATCCAATAACACCTTTTCCCTGCAGCCATCCCACCACAGGCTGCCTGTGGAGTGGGATGGTCTCCTGCTCAACAGTGTAGCTGTACTGGAGATAGCGCTGAAAAGGCCACGTCCAAGTAGTTCATGGCTAATATTTTAGATGGACACAGAACTGTGAAACTGGAATTGCTTATATGAGATTGGGAAGCAGATGCCAGAGCCGTTCTGAATAACATAAGCTATCTAAAAATATGTTCATGATGCATCCATTAAAAATGTAGTGATAGCTGATATATTATTTATACATGAACTACTTAGTTTATTCAGCACTTGCTAAAAACCTTTCAGGCTTTTCAGAGCAACACAACTTATTTTAGAGAAATGCAAATAAAGAGCACTGGTAATGGAGTGCCTCTAAACCAATTCATCAGCTTACAAAGGGAAGATGAGAAGTGCTAGTTGCCATGACACTGATCTTAGAAGAAATAAGGAAGGTGGTGTAGGAGTTCAGTGTAGGAAGTTTGGAGAGCTTTCATCATTCCTTCCTGTAGTCTAAGGACTAAAAGAAAAGATGATGATGGCTCCCACATCACTAGGAGCCATCTATCTTGAAGCAGTGCTATAGGTTTTCCAGAAGAGAGGACACATAAAGGGGGTGGGGATTTTGAGCACCTGGGGTGTGCATCTTACTTGAGGGGATATTCAGTAGAACCTCTGACTCTTGAAATATCAAGTGATCCTCATGTAAGACTGAAGGCTTTAAGGTGAAACTGAAGATAATAGTATAACTGAGGCAGATTTAAAAGTATGCTGGAAAGAAGCCATGAAGATAACTTACAGCTTGAAGCAGTTTGGGTATTCCCATCTAGCCAGACTGCCCTAATGGGCTCTTTCACAGTGTGATTCATCCTGTTTGTTCTAGAAAAGTATCTTAGAGGAGGAGGGATTGCTCTGTGAAGGTCCTTCTCCCCTCTGCAGATTCCAGGGGGCCCTCTGGTAAGCAGCTGTCTGGGCTAGATGCAGAATTTCAGATATTTAAAGTTAAGTGGTATGAATTTTAGCCCAAACTAAATGCAGAATGTGTTTTTGAAATTCAAGGCTAGGATCCAGAAAGGGAAAACAGGAGTGTCAGGAGAAAGCTGAAACCATTCAGTGGAGCAAACCCAAAGTTCTGCAATGCTGCAGAAGAACAAACATTGTGAGAAAAGAGGAAGGGGGAATGGAGTTATCTGGGTAGAAAGAATGAGTATGATATGGGGAGGATGGCAAAGGACACTGATTTGTAAAATCAGTAAGACAGCAAAAGCTGTGATTTTTAACTGTATGAGGAAAAGGAACAAGGAGGAGGCCACTTGCCCTTTTGGCAGACTGCTTACCAGCAGCACTGTCAGGCTGTGGTTCTGAGGCCAGAAAAGCCTGAACACAGAATGAAGAGAAATGGGGAAACACTGCCCCTCACACTAGGACATTGCCAGGCTCAGGAAAGGGGCAGGAGCTCAGATGGTTGATTATAGAATTCTGGTCATCTCGTAAGGAGGAGGGTGAATGCATAACCAGTGAGGTAGCTCCTAAGTTGGTGTTACAGGGAAGACTGAAGGTCACTTGGCTAGTAAGAAGCACTAACCAAAAGAGGCAGCTGCATAAGAGGCTTCACCAGAGTAGCCAGGATATTGCTCTTTTAGGATTACGCTTCCATGCAAAAGCAGCAATAGGAATGAGGGAATGGCTCTTACACAGCAGCCTGGGAATTTCTAGAGGTAAATGTGCCTAATGCATGTTAGGGGACAGGACAGAAGAATATCAGCCCAAAGTACTGAGGGGTAGGAGGGGAGTCAGAGTATGTCACTGCCTGTGTCTGTGCCTGGCCTTGCAGCATTGCCTCTGAAGGACACTGAGAGGGTAGGCAGAGAGTGTAAGAATAGGTAGAGTTCACTTAGGAAAAACTGGGAGTGTATTGGGTTTTTTTCTTGTTCAGATGGTTCCTGCATTTCCCATCTTGGGGGATAACATGGAAAAATGCACTGTATGGCTTTCCAGTTGAAAGGTTGTTGTATAAATAGCAAATTGAGAAGGAAGGTAGGTACAAACAATGCTTTGTAAGAGCAGGACTGGTACTTCTAGAGCAGCTTTTCAGATCTAAAAAGACCTAGGACACTTAGCTTTGCTCTGGCAGGAGGGAGGCAGGAGGATGGAATGCTGTAGTAGAGGAGAGAAGAAGGAATGTCTGTGACTTAGGTAGCATCAGTGACACTTGTCTGGCTTTCTCATGCACTGTTGTTAAATTCTGAGACCTGTGTACATATTCAGTGTGTGCGTTCAAAACTTACTCGGTGTGCTAAAAAGACTTTCTCCTTCAAAAAAGGAGGATCTCAACTTTGGCTTTGATTTCTGGAAGAAGTCCAGATGATTAGAAAGCCAAACAGGGCTGCTTAATGGAAATTGCAGAAGCCAGAGTTCTCACTGCAGACTGTGGAAAGTCAAAGGCATCCCTTAGGGACTGCTTTGGTACTTGCTGACCTTCAGAAATAAATGCTTTCGTCAGTTTCTTTGGATTTTTTTTTCCATAAGTTATCTTGTGAATATGGATAACTTTTCCTAAAATTAGCATTGATATTGAGCTACTGTAGCTGAAAATTTGTTCCTCTTTCCAGGAGAAAAAAGAAAAACACCTTCTGAAACACCCTGAAACATCTCCTTGTCCTATTTCAGAGAAAGTAAAAGCAACCAGCCTTCCCTTGGTTCCTGAATGGTTGTTCCCTACTACCATATCATGGAATATGGTGCATGTGAAGGCAAGAAAGGGTTTATAATTAAGACGCATTTCTAGATGTCACAGAGACTGAGGTGGAGCTTATCTAGATCAATCTGAGTGAGGATAAAAAGAAAACCAACCCAAAAAACCCCTTACAAACCGTCCAAAAGAGGGAAAAAATTCTACTCTGAATCTTAGATAAGGTCAAAAAACCCTCTTTTTTGGAGGCTCTTCTAGAGAAGCTGCTGAAAACTTTTATGGGGACCTTTTCAAGTAACTCCTGAAAAGTAACAATATCCTGATAAAGAAGTTTCAAATGTTTATTTTGTGTCCTACAAATTTGCTACGGGGGAAAAAAACCTTGTTATTTTAAAAACTTCCTCTTTAGAAAGGTACACAGGAAACTGACAGAAAATAATAGTACAACTGCAGTAGGTAATGACTCTGATTTTGGATCTGATTGTAAAGTCAAATAGGAAAGCTGAGGGAAAGAAAAAATATGAGTGAGCAAGAATAATTTGGTTAGGAAGCCCCTAGAAGGCCTAAGCAGAAAAAATTTAAATTCTTAGTTTAAATGCCTGGTTTTTCAGAATAAGGAGGTGGAGCTGTTCTAGGCCTCACACAGTTCCTTCATGCCCAGCCTTGCAAAGGCAGACCTTGCACTGCTGTGACTCTCTTCCCCCTCGGCAGAATCTTTGCAGCTGAGGGCACTTTCGCTTGGTGGAATTTCATTTCTACTTCTCAGTTCTACCAGTCAAAGCCCACATGTCCTCAGCCTTTGCCGGGGCCAAGCATGTGGGACAGAGACAGAAACTGAGGCTTAGCACATGGCCTTATTGTCAGAAGCTGGTTTCTCTCATCTGTTCTCCAAGCAAGCAGTGCCTCTGCAAACTTCTTAACTCTGTAGGGAGTAAATTCTTAGAGTTACATTGTTGTTGCAAATCCAAGCACTAATTTCAAACGACAGCATTCCCAGGTTTTAAGGTTGAGCTCTCATTCCGATGAGAGGAGGAGTGTTGGTTTAGGCCACCAGCAGGAGCAGGGCTGCCATTTGAAGAGCTTGAAGGGTCAGTAGGGTTATTTCTTTAACTTGTCAGTTGATTATTTTTTATTTGTTTTACATAAGGCTTTTAGCAGTCCAACAAAGGCAGTGATAAAGTGAAGGTACGTTTGTAGCTGAATTTTCTTTTTGGTTCCTTACAAAAATGGCACTGCTAATATGCACGTGGGTGCATGCTGTGATACTTGTGTTATGCCCCTGGGGAGATGAACTGTGTTGGGCAGGACAGGTGAAGGTACAACACTGACTGTACTAATATATAGTTGAAGTAGTATTAGTCTAAGCACAGAGCTGCTGAGCAAAGGAATGATTTAATTAGAAAGTGTGCCCTGAAAGGGATTATTCAATGTTTGATGAAGGAGAGTGCAAGTCAGAGTGAGTACTGTGATCTTCAAGATAACACAGAAGCATGCCCAAAGGGAGTAAGACTTTGTTGAATAAGATATCAAGAAAGGCATTGAAACCAAAGCCAGCTATGAACTTAACATCTAGAGGACACTGAGAGGCTTGTTTTTGGAAGTGATGCAAGAAAATGGAAACTGGTAGAGTTTGCTTTTCAGTAAGTCTGAACAGGGTAAACATTTGAAGTTATGTTCTTCAGCTGGAAGCTGCCTTCAATGGTGACTTAAACTCTCACTTTGTCTTCTAATTATAGAGTAAGAGCATTAATGTAGTATGCTGGCTTATCTCTGACAGCAATTTCTTTAACCAGTCTAATGCATTTGTTTTGAGATTGGTCATGCCTCTGCTCTGA